CCCCCTAGCCCGCGCCCCGCTCCGGCTCCGACTTCGGCTATAGCTTCGGCTCCGGCTCCGGCTCCGGCTCCGGCTACGACTGCCCCGCCATGTCCGAACAAGCTCAGGGCTTCTGCTACGACTTCTGCCTCTACTCCTATCCATAGGTCCTCCTCTTCTCTGATCAAACCGGCCTCCTCCTCCTCGTCCAAAGCCTCTACCGCCACCACGGCCACGGCCAAACCCGTCCATGTTATTACCAAACCGCCCTTGCATGCCTCCTCTACCCCCATTACTGTTACCAAAACCAGGACCACCGGTGAAACCCCGACCCCTGTTTCCGCCGCCACGCCCAAACGAGTCATCTCTCATTCCACGGCCACCAAACCCGCCAAACTGCCCACCTGCTCTGACTTCCCTTGCAGGTCCTGAAGAGTCCCATCGGCTACCACCACCAGAATCGAACCGACTAACCATGGCCCCTCTGTCCCTGGGGAAACCCGAGCCACCGCCCCCTCCACCACGCATGGCAATCTCACGGACCTGCGGCGGCACTTGCTGGTTTGCCCCCTCCAGGACTTTGATCAAATCAGGTGCGTATTTCCAGTCCTGATCTGAGAAGAAAGTGTACGCGACTCCGGTCGCACCAGCTCGGCCAGTTCTTCCAATCCGATGGACATAGTCTTCAATTCCCGTCGGAAAATCATAGTTGATCACGACTCTGCGTGGTAAAAAATCGACAGGAAAGAATTATACAGCAGCGAGTAGCAAGCATCTCTCCTACACAAGATATGTATAATAACAAACCTTATATCTTTTATGTCAAGCCCCCGGGCCGCAACATCGGTAGCTATCAATACAGAGGACTTCCCACTCCGGAACTGGTTAAGAACCCAATCTCTCTCACCTTGAGATTTGTCTCCATGGATTACCACAGCCCCGAAATTACGCCCGACACTACGTGCAAGATGGTCACATAGCCTCTTTGTCGAACAGAAGATTATAACTTTCGAGCCCCGTTCTTGCGACCTGAGGATTTGCTCTAGACGTCTCTCCTTCTCCATTTGCGGGACTACTTCAACGTACTGTAGAATTTAACACAAAAATCTCATCTCAGCATTCACACAACCATGCGATATACCACAAGGGGATAACAAATCAGCTCACAACTAACCTGTGTTATTGCCTTGTTTGCAGCCAGCTCATCCACACTGCCTATGTTTACTTGGACTGGATTTACAAGAAGATCACTAGCTATTTTCCTTACTTCTTTTGGCCAAGTAGCTGTATACATGAGAGTTTGCCTTCGAGGGGGTATTTCATTCACAATCCTTCGGATCTGAGGTTCGAAACCCATGTCAAGCATACGGTCAGCCTCATCAAGAACGAGTAACGAAACCTGCTGGAAATCAATCTTCTTCATTTCCAATATATCATTTAGACGGCCAGGAGTTGCCACGACAATATCAGCTCCTCGTTCCAACTCTTTCAATTGAGGACCCTTAGGAGCTCCGCCATACAAGCACTGATAAGCGATGCAACCAAAATAGTAATCAGTATACAACAGACAAAAAACAAGAGTAGAAAACATATTCTTTATCGGTACAATGATGACAGATCATAGATGATGAATATAGAATACTCACAGTGCACGAAATCCTGGAAGACCGACCGAACCTAATGGCTTCATCTTGTATTTGTGTGGCAAGCTCTCGAGTAGGAGCTAAAACCAACATTGTCGGGCCATTGCGAGGATCGTTCCGACAGTGACTTAGAAGAATGAAAGCCGGAATCAGGTATCCCAATGTTTTACCAGAACCAGTTTTGGCAATTGCAACTACATCCCTGCTTTGCAGAGCAATTGGCCATGTTTGAGCCTGGATTGGTGTTGGAGATGCAAATCCAGCAGAATGCAACTGAAACAAAAGCAAAGACATTAAGATAAGATAATGTATCAAGAACCAATATCCCCTACCAGTAGTAAAGCTCGGTATATCCATCTGTACCGTACCTCTCTGAGTATTTCAGGCGGGAAACCAGTGGCCTCAAATGTGATGAATGGAGCTGGAATATTATCACCCTGCGTAATCGTAATACAAAGTTCATGGTAACAATGTAACATACAGATTCGAATGGACATAATGCTGAAGAATAATACTATTTTCAAATGCTATTACTTATTCCAGTTGAAGTTGTCCAAAAACCTCCTCAGTAGAGTTTAATGGACATACATTCACTGAAACCACAATTATAAAGCATTAAGCCTATATCAGGTTACAATTCAAGTGGCAAATAAAGCAAGGAAAATTGAAAGATATCAGCATACTGTTGTTGTAACTTCATGTTGCTGACGGTAGACTTCAACGGGTGAGAGATGAGAAACATCAGAAGGGCCAAGGAGTGGAGGCCTCAATGAGGGATTATTTGGAAAAGCAGGACCAGTGTGTCCATATGTTCCATGGACACTGCGCCCAAGTGCTGGATCCAATGCACCGGGATGACCAGGCACAGCATTTAACAGTGGACCGCTACCTGTCCTTACATCCTACATAACATTATAGAGTGATTCTTTCACTGAGAGAAGAGTAGGAAAGCAAAAACATGGGTTAGACAAAGATAGAATACAAACTCACTTTAGGCATTGTTGCAGGATGAAGTTGTTGGGAACCCCTCACCGGCCCTTCTACTCTGGCATTAAAGTAGGAGCCATTCCCGGGCCTAGCGTTTAGATTACTATCATAACTCTTGTTTGATTCGAAAGGAAGAGGATGAGATTTCTGGTGCAACATTGTCGGGTCCATGTGATTTTGAGGACTAGGTCCTAGCTGCTGGTGAACCAGATTAGCCCCAGGTTGTTGGAATTGACCAGATGAAGTGGGATGTTGCATGTTTGCTGGAGGGCCATTGTGCTGGTGACCTAAGTTTGCACCAGTTCTCGGCATTTGAGCTGGATTAGCTTCAAAAGGGATATTTTGGGATGACGATCCCATCACATTTTGTAGATGCGGTTGAGAAAACCTGGTTTTCTTCTCGGTGTGGAACTCTTCCTCCTCCCTATTTGGTCCCCCTGAATCGTACTCTTGTCGACCTGGGAACTGCTGACCACGGGGGCCCACCTGGGGTGCTTGATGCAAATTCTGAGGCCCTTGTGGCATCACATATGGCTGATAACCCATGTACTGTTGCTGTGAATGCCCATACTGGTGGCTTTGCTGCTGCGGCATCTGAGAGTGCTGGTTCTGCAACACTTGCTGCTGCTGCAGCTGCATCGGCTGGTAAGCCTGTAGCTGTGCAGGATGGCCATGAGTTTGTTGAGGAGCTTGCTGGCCGGGTTGCAACATTTGGGGTCTCACATGGTGGGCCGAGAACTGCTGAGGCTGTTGTAGACCGTGTCCTAGGGCTGAGCCCTGTTCTTGTGCAGCTTGCCTGTCAGAACCATGGGTTACATTCTGCTGAGCCACCTGCTTTACCGATGTTAGCTGGTCTGGCTGAGATTGATGAACTTGTCCTGCAGATGGTACAGGAATCTGAGCGAGCTTCGGTGTCGCTGAAGATGGTGGAGGGCCAGCGGGTAACAGTGGAGGGGGGGCTGAAGGTCTTTCGTATTGAGTGATATTCGTTTCGGGGTTCCAGTAATACAAAACCCCGGTGCTTCCATCTATCAATCCTTTCCAAGGTTGAGGAAGAGTTGGATCCTCTGGGGCATATCTCGGACCAACAGAAGCAGTAGCTGCTTCTGCTGTGGCCATAGGCAGAGATTCTACAACTACAAGCAGAGAAAACACTCAAATTTTATTACACAACAAAATCTGCAAACAAACATGACAAAGCAGAAAGTACAATCCAATCTTCCAGAAGTATAAACAGCTTTAATCCAACACGATTATTTGACATGATAACCAAGCTAAGCTCACGCATAGCAAACCATTCCTCACCATCAGCTCATAGCTACTTAACAAAACTCAAGTCTGGCGAAGAAACCATGAAAATAGTTTCCGCACTAAAACGAGCATCGAAATCGAAGCCAACAGACCATTGACAATCAACAGAAAAAACCCGTAAATCGGAGAAAGCGCATAGAACAGATTTTGCTAAATTACACACCTCGCAGAAGAAATTAAGCTTCAGACCGCCCAAATTTCTCCAAAAATGGAATGGAAGGAAAACTATGATGTGAGAAAGGCGCCGACAAGATATCGTCTTCTTCAGTGAATCATAAGAGAGAGAGAACAAAGAAAACCTCAGAAAAAGTTTCGATGGAACTTTGATGGTGTTAGGGTTTGAGACAACGAAGAAGAGAGGCCGAGAGAAAAAAATCTCCTGCAGCGGCGGTGCACGCGACCTAGGGGGCTTCTTTTAAAATTAAAATCGAACCGATATTATCCGGAAAAACCAAAACTAGAGGATAAGTTTTTTTTAAACCAGTAAGAATCATTTTTAATGGATTATAATTGAAATGCGAAATAATAAAAGGATAAGAAATCTATAATTCTTGTGACTTTGTCGATTAATTTTTCTGTGTGATATTTGAATAAATATGAAACCTTTATAATAAAACAGCATTAGTAATTTCAAATTTCCTACAAAAATCGTTTATAATCTCGAGCGAGGTAAATTGGGCTTTTTTGTACCATATAAAAATGTAGGGCCAAAAGTGTGAATAACAGAAGTTACTGAACTCCGAAGGAAATCAGTGAATTTAAAAAAAAATAAGAGAGAGAAAAAATGTAGGGGCTTTTTGTCATATAAACAATGTAAGGGCCAAAAGTGTGAATAACACAAAAGCTCTATCTTGTTCTTCACTCCGTTCGCAAGCTTGATTTCCGTCGGGCATAGAATCCGAAGATCACCGGCCGGATTCACTCGCACAGGAACTGGCCGTGGTCTCCGGTGGTCCGAAGATCACGGAGTATGAAACGTTGCCGTCTTTTTCTCCGGAAAACGGCGGATTTGGCGGCAAAACCAACGGGGGAGATTGGGTTTTCGATCATGTTTGTCCGAACCGAACTGAATCGCGTATTCGTTTTCTGCATCAAGGTCTCTTCACAGTTATGTAATATTCCGACAGTTTCATGGTCACCTCCGTTTTTAGTTGGTGATACCAAGTTCATCCTCTCAGTTACGGTGAGCAAAATCCGAGCTCTTTTAACTCCGAGTTCCAATTAGGTTCGAGTTTCCTAATTAGGGTTTATGCTGATTTTGATTCTGTCTTAAAAAGTTCTGATATTTAATGATCATATCCCATTTATATGCAGTCTCCATCAAAAAGGCAAAGCACTCGAGTAGTGGCGGAGAGCATCAAAGCAAACAGATACATTATTACGTTCATCTAACAAGGGGGAACGGGTAATAGAGGGGAAAGCCATGTCGAAAACAGGTTTCCTTGGAAGCTCGAGTTTGGAACTCGTTGATGATCCAAGGAATCTGAACAACATTTCTTAGGAATCAAGTCAAAGACACTGATGGGTCGAGCTGATAACTCTGATGGTACACTCCTTTTTGTTACAGCTGAATTATCCGGCCATGCCGACGTTTGTTATGGAAAAAACTCGGGTTTCTTGTGTTCTTGTGTTTCAAGTGCAAAAGCCAATATTTAAAATATTTTGTTGCATTTGTGTTCTTGCGTTTGCGATTGTTACTCTGTTGCATAACTGTTTGCTTGCTGGGGAACTCATCAAGGATTACAATCGTCGTACTACAACCAAGAATGCCATGCTGAAAATCGACATCCGTAAGGCATTTGATACGCTTGACTGGAGCTTTGTGCTAAATCTGCTGAAGGGGCTAAACCTTCCCGACATATTTATCCACTGGATCACGCAGTGCATTACCACGCCAAAGTTCTCTATTTCTATTAATGGCAACCTTGAGGGGTATTTTAAAGGGAGACGAGGGTTACGGCAAGGAGATCCAATCTCACCGTATCTATTCATTCTGTCAATGGAGGTTTTATCGCGCATGCTTAACAAATCAGCCCAGGCTAACGAATTTGCTCTACATAGCAAATGCCGAAGCCCGCTTGTTACTCACCTTGCGTTTGCTGATGATGTTATGATCTTTTCACAGGGTTCTGAAAGCTCGATCTCAAAAGTGATGCTGATCTTAGATGCATTTGGGACCTATTCGGGGCTGAGGATAAACAAAGCCAAATCAGAACTATTCCTTAGTGGGGTCGAACACTTGGAAGCTGATCGTATCTGCTCAGCTATTGGTCTTCCGAGAGGACAATTACCAGTCCGTTATTTGGGTGTCCCACTGTCCCCGAAAAGGCTAACTAGAGAGGATTACCAACCACTTCTTGATAAAATCAAGTCTAAGCTTACAGCATGGTCTTCTAAAGCTTTATCCGCTGCAGGCAAGGTACAAATGATAGTCTCGGTTATCTATGGCCTTGTAAACGCATGGAGTATGATGTTCCTGCTACCAAAATTTATTCTGAAGAGCATTGACAGTTTATGTTCACGCTTCTTGTGGAATCATAAGCCGGATACAAATGCTAGCCACAGAATCTCATGGAAAAACATCTGTCGACCCAAGAGGGAGGGCGGGCTGGGCATACTTAAGATGGAGGACATCAACACTACCTTTCGTTTAAGGCTGATTTGGTTGCTATTTAGTCAAACCGACTCTCTATGGGTTGATTGGATACAGGAGAATGCGATAAGAAAACACGGATTCTGGGATACACCGGTGACAACCAATGTATCATACACATTCAGGAAACTGTTGAAACTCAGGGACTTGGCACGGAAATTCATTCGGGTAAAGCTAGGAGATGGAAGAAAGGCTTCCTTCTGGTTTGATTCATGGACTGATCTGGGACCCCTGATAACATTTGTGGGAGATATGGGACCACGGTTACTTCAGACCTCACGTCAGGCATGTGTGCACGATGCTACAACTAACAGGAGTTGGAGGCTGCCGCCAGCGAGAAGCGAAAGGGTTCTAGAACTACAGATGAGAATGTCAACCATTGACCCGCCTGCTGAGGATGAAGGAGAAGATGAATACCTATGGCGTCAAAAATCTGGTGAGTTCGGAACTTGTTTCCGGTCAGCCAGTACCCGTTATCTACTACGTCCTGTCAACTCACAAGTACCGTGGTATTCACTGGTCTGGTTTAAGGGAGCTATCCCGCGTATGGCATTCATCCTTTGGCAGGCATTCCAGAATCGATTACCCACCAAAGATCGGCTCGTCTCGTGGGGAATGCAGATCTCAACTTCCTGTATTCTCTGCAACCTGGAGCAGGAATCCCATGAGCACATATTCTTCAAGTGCTCCTTTAGTCATGATGTTTGGAACCCCATCGCTAATTACTGTCTACCATCGCCTCCAGATTATATAGAGGGATGCCTACCTTGGGTCGCTGACCCGTCACATGCGCGAGATCGGGGACAGCCTACCCTTGCGAAGCTTTGCATTCAGCTAGCAGTGTATGAGCTCTGGAGAGAACGGAATAACCGAATCTTTCGGGATAAAGCACGCACGGCAACGAATATCCGCATGAAAATCGACCGGACTATGCGAGACAACCTCCTGGCTTTGAAGAGTGATCATCACCAGAGACCAGCCGATAGTACTCTTCTTGAAGATTGGTATTTTCTGACATTATACGCTTGAAACTAAAGCAGCAAGTTACCTTGCTGATTACTGATTACTTCCACTTGCACATGGGCATGGGAATTTGTTTACCTTAGGGTATTTTTGTGTATGGTCTAACCATGATTGTAAATCACGTTTTTTAGAAGTAATACAAAGCACATTTAAACCAAAAAAAAGCTTTGTTACAAACCACAGTGGTGGTGAAGACAAGAATGCAGGTAGCTCATTCATCCTGAACTCTACCCGTTTTCGTGCAAATACCCATTTTCAGATCTATACAGGGTTACCTAACTTAAATTTCTTGCATACACTTTGTGTCTCTGGTCATCGTAGGTTAACCGATAACTTCCAAACGCGAAGTCGAGTGTGTTTAGTGGTTTGGTGGCATTCTAGGCATTGTTTCAACCATTAGTTTCGCTGGGAATGGAAGGAAAATGGATCATTCTCTATTGTCAGATAGTCTCTGTTGGTGTGGCAATATCAAATCCTTGTCAGATTTCAAATGACACCAGAATGTATCAAAATGCACGATTTCGCAGATTACAGAGTCGGGATCATGCCAAATATTGTAGGGTACTGCTTTATCTTTCTTCAAGTTTCTTCCAGAACTACTTTGCTATTTACTCGATTTGTTTTGTATTTGTAGATTTTTCCCAGAGATGGATGTTGTAAGGGCTTCCGGGCACAACTTGTTACAATGAACCTTTCAGTAAAGGTGTGACCGAATCTGACGTAATTGCTTGTCTCTCTCTTAGTTCGCTTCTGTGTTCTGTAGGAGCTTAGGGTACAGAAACGATCCAGTTAAGAAGTCGTCGGATCTTGAGATTATTACCACTGTCAAAACTCGACTTCAGGTAAAACGGGATGTCCGTCTTCGATTCTCGGAATGGCACTTAAACAAGCATACTGTTGCGCAAACCTAACTGTTCTTGGTTTCTTCTCTCTATGGTTTGATCAGGGAGGCTGTCTTTGAAACAGCAAGGATAATTGTTGTGGACAGGGACAACATGTTGTGTAGATTCTACCGACATTTACCACCGGAATTCTTGTTGAAACGTGGGTTCAGTATCCAGGGACCAGATCTAATTCCGGGTTAAATGAGAGAACACACGATTGATAGATGTGGAAAGCTTCTTTGTTCTTTCTGTTCTTTCCCATGTTTCTCAAGGGCTTTTTTCTCATCGAATCAATGGAAGAAGAACAAGAATCCGAATGATTTCTCCCTAGAAAATGCAATCCTTTCGAGCATTTAAACAATCCGAATCACGACCCATGAAAAGAATCTCAGCTGTTCAACGGTTCCAAACACATTTTGAATGAAATATGAATAACTCGGAAGAAAGGGCGTGATAAAGATGCAGACTTTAGAGCTAATCACGTTTCTCTGCAGAAAAGCCAGAGCCTTTGGGTTCTGATCTGACCTGTCGTGTCCTGGCGTAGTTCTTGGAATGAAAGTTCAAGAACAGAGCCAATAGAGAAGCGTTAAACGCAGCGTTGAAGCACCATCCCAAGAACCCGGAGCAACCCGACCCGACAGAGTGTTCGTACAGCATCCAACCCGACAACACGAAGCTCAACACGAACTGCACAATCTGACAGTTCGTCACCAGTCTCTTCCACTTTGGTCGTGACCCAATGGCGCAGAGGAAGTAGTATCCGTACATGATCACGTGCACCGTCGCGTTGGTCACAAGCGCCACCGGGAACATCGACTGCCGTGTACGGAGCCACAGGTAACACATCACTACCACCGTCGCGTGGTGGTACACGTGGAGGAACGACAGCCGTTGGATCGATCTCCCCAGGATAATCAACAGGGTGTCTCCGAACTCGAGGATCTTCGAGAGGTAGAAGACGTGGGCCCAGAAGAAGAGAGGTCCGGTGGGTTTCAATTCCAGAGGGAAGCATATCGCGTGTTTGGCACACGCCGCCGCGTCGGGCGCGTGGGAGATTATGGAGAGGGTGCAACCAACAGCCATGATGAGGGAGAGCAGGCAGAGGACGAGGCTGTGAACGGCTGTGATGGGTTTGAGGATGCGCGGGCCGAGCGAGGGGAGGATTTCGACGGCGGAGCGGAGGAGGAAGGTGGCGGAGAGGTAGCCGGCGACGGAGACGGCGGCGAATGAGACGGAGGAAGCGAGAGTTTCGCCTTCGGTCCACGTGAAATGAGCGATCTTGGGATGGTTCACGAGCCAGTAGGAGAGGGTGGAGAATAACGGCGAAGCCATCGCGTGAATCTCAAGCGCCGCCGAGCACGGGCGGGGGAATCTAGCGGTGTCTCCGGAAAAGTTGGAAGTGTAGTGGTGGACAACGAAGGGATCGAGGCTTATCTACGGCAGAGTGGTCCCCCACCGTTTCATATCTTAACAGGCTGTTCTGTTTATTTTTAATATTGGTAAGGCAAGATGGTATATTAATATACCAATTTGTAAACAAAATATCATAATTAGATACACAGATTTTTAAATTTCCAAGAAAAATATTTTTAATTTTTTATATTAAAAGCTGAACTTTTTAAAAATAAGAAAATTAAATATTGGAATATTTAGAAATCTCTGAATGAACATACACTATTAATTTTGTAATACATCGGAATATTGGTATTATTGAATTTGAACATGTATATATATTGGCATTATTGAAGACTTGACGCATGGGTTTTGAGGTTTCATATTTCAAATTGGACCATACGTGGCTTCATTCAGGCCCAAAGGGCTATAATAGTTTTGAGGATATGGTTTATATTTAGACTATATTTACTTATTTATTTTGTACCATCTAACTAGGGTGACTTAATCGGTTTTCGATTCGAATTCGGTTCGTTTATATTCAGATTGGTTACTTTGGTTTTAGAAAAATTATAACTGTTCGGTTTTTACATGAATTCGGTTTATATTCAGTTCGGGTTCGGTTATAAAAATATTCATTTTCTTAAAAAATTTATGATTTTTTCAGTTATTTTATTCAGTTCGATTCAAATTCAGATTCAGTTTTTTCGATTTTAAAAAAATCATAATCATTTGGTTCGATTACGATTATACGTTATTCGGTTCATATCAATTCGATTATTAACCAACCAAACACCCCTACATCTTTCCATAGTATATCAAATAGTACCTCTTTTAGGTAAAAAGTTATTCAACTTTTTTTGTTTGCACAAAAAAAACTTAGGTTTGACCAATGATTATTCTAATAAGGCGTAAACATAATTAGTTAGTGGCTTAAACAACTGATTAGATTAATCGTTTCCGCTGATTACAAGCTTCCGTTTGTTGACGAGGCAAGAATTAGGCTCTAAACGCACGAGTGGGCTGTGCTTAACTCGGATATCCCTTTGACTCCTTTGACCGACGTTATACATTATATACTATAGTATTTTATACACATATAAGTATAGTATATTTACACACACACACACGCACATTCAATGAATTTAAGAGGCGAGTCAAATTTGAATCCGGAGTTAGTATCATTAAATCTTTCATCTTTGAACATATACGTGTATATATATATATATATGTATGTATGTGACCAAAGATTTTGAAATATAAAAAAAAAAAAAAAAAAACTTAGATGGCCATATATATGACCAAAGATTTATATAAGATCGTTTGTTATTACTTAAACTGAAAATTGCGACTACCAAATCTTACATTAGACATTGGTCATCCTAAATTTGATTTAAAGTCTGTTTTTTAGATTTATTTCAATTTATATATATAAAAAAAACTGGCACGTTTCCATATTTCACGTCGCAAAAATCATAGAAGCAATTTTTAAAAGATATCCTGAATAAAATCATCTTTAATATATATATATATTGTATTTTCAATGTGATTTTGTTGGATCTTACGACTCAATACATCTTCTAGGTCTGATTTTTGCCAAACATAAATATCTTTAGAGTTCCAATTTGAGGTGGGACAATATGCTTTTAGTCCGCTTTGGATCGTTAATATAATTATTATCATTGTATTACTTTATAATTTCTTACCATTTCTCTATTATTTCACTATATTGTTGTATATATCTCCACACTTTATGCCTTTATTTTTCCTCATATCCTCTTTGTCATTTCATTTTCTCTTTTATCACTGCCAATAATAATAATAATAATAATAATAATAATAATAATAATAATAATAATAATAATAATAATAATAATAATAATAATAATAATAATAATAATAATAATAATAATAATAATAATAATAATAATAATAATAATAATAATAATATATAATAATGATGATAATAATAATATATAATGATGATGATCATCTCCGCTGTTCACGGGGAAAATATATGTCATGTTTCAAAACAAGCGAAATTAATTAATAAAATTTGGACTAATCAAGTGTGTTAAATTTTCAAATTAGCTTTGAAAAAACGTACGGTCGAGGGAAGTAAAATTCCATTATGTCTAACTATGCGACCCATTTTGACAATGTTATAATTGCTACACATTTAGGACATAGAAAATTGCAATTTAACATAATTGTTTTTATTTTCTTCGCATATATATATATGTATGTATGTATGTATATAATGATGATGGAACTTAAGGGAGTGTCATCGTCAAGGGTGGACTTTTGATTTTAGCAGTGCCATTGAATCTAGACTGGCTACTTTCCCTGTCTTAATCAAACATAACTTCATACATTCTTACATGAATAAACTTACCAATACACATGTTCACAAAGCGATGCATATATATATATACACACAAAAAAAAAAATGGATCATATGATTATTGATTTCGGACATTAAGTCGATTGGCAATTATTCGCTTAGTGGTATGAACAATTATCTACATATGAAATTTTATCCATTCATTTTTATATTATATTCTCGTTAAAAAAAATTATTTTTCGGTTATTTTTGTCGTCAAATCGGATTGGATTTGAGTTTGACTTTTTCGGTTTTAAGAAAACCGTATTCATTAAGGTTTCATATTGAATTAGATTTGAATTGTGTTATATATTATTCAGGTTTCGATTATCATCCCTAATCATCATCCGTGTCATCATTTTCATATATATATATATGTATGTGTGTGTGTGTGTGTGATTCCTGTAAAGGATTAAAAGTGATGTATGTTACGGGTGGTGATAATAATAATGTGCAAAAGTGGTCCAGAGAACACATGCCCTAACATTATCCATCACACGTATGCGAACTCAAGATATGGACTGACCATATTATATTTAAGAGTGTTAGTGTAATTGTGACGGTGGATTAATTGGTACATGTGTTGGGGTAAACTTGGATATATATATATATATATATATATATATATATAAATTTAAAGAGTGCGGGATTCTTTTTGATACATCTAAGTAAATAGATTATAGATATAGGGGTTTATATTTGTAAAATGAAAAATAATGTTTTATGTGACAAAATCTAGTTGTATTTTTTTTTTTTGTAATCGGATATCTTGAACTACGACCCAAACTAATTATATGAGATCGGAAGTCAATCATGTGGTTTGAATTGTACATTTTTTTCCTAAATTTGAGATCCGAACTGGAGATGGGATAAACGTTTTGTGCCCTCATTTCACCGGTTGAACTATCTATATTTGGATAATCTAGTTGTATTTTTGTAAATAGTACTTGAAATGTTTTAATAAGTATACCTTTCCTTTTCTTATGTGTATATATTTGTATATATATAAAGGGCTAATAAGTTTTACTGCATTCATAATATATATATATATATATATATGTGGATCCATATATGTTATAAGAGAGAAGTTTGTTACTATATATAATAGAAAGATATTTTTTTCGGTAACCGAAAATTGTGGATTAAAGTTTAAATTAATCTCGGGGGCCAAAAGCAACCATTTAATTTGGATTAAGAATGGGAAGATATTAAATCTTGGTTTATGTAAGATTGTCATTTAATATCAAAATACGCAAGAAACATTGAAGAATTTGAAATATTTAAGCACAATAAAAAAGGATAATGCATTTCACTTTTTGTATTTATAAATCATTTATTGAAATTTGCAAGAACAGGTTCAGTACCTAACAAATTAAATTAACACATAGTAATTGAATATATATAAAATAAAGTGATACGAAAAAAAAAAGAGTCAAAAATATACCGAGACAAATATAATTTATGAAAAAGTTTTTTGGTCAAAGACGTTTCATCTACCAATTTGGTGTAAATAAACAAATTTATTATATATGTTGTGAAAAACGAAGAAATATAGAAGACCCGAGAATCAGATCGTTAACTAGAAACCGAAATCGATCGTTTGAGAGACCCGGGAACAAGATTTCAATAATTTTCTTTTCTTGGAATTGTGTACAAATGAAGGAGGGAAATGAGCTATTTATAGAAAATCCGAAGTTACTGTTCACGTATACGTATTTATGAACAGTAACCGTATGGCGGCTAAACAGTAACCGTATGGCGGCGTGAACAGTACCCGGCTGCGTGAACAGTGCCCGGCTGCGTGAACAGTACCGTAGCTTCACTATTCATTTATAACAT